TTTCACCACCATTTTTGTAATGAGAGGGTCTAATTGGTTATTGAGTCTTTTTTCGAAAAGATAGGAAACCAATATAATACGAAAAAATGTCCATTTTCTTCTCTTTCCTCTCGTTTCAGATTTTGGATATTGTAGGCAGAAAAACGATTATGTAAACGACTCCAAATTGCTGTCATTACACTCGAAAGGCCCCTTCCCATTCCTTTCATCCTAAACATACTCACTTCGCCTGGATTTGTGCTAAGTGCTCGGCTCTATTCATCGAATTCTATTCTAATTCAACTTCTTCGAGAGTACGGTGCTACTTTATTATCCATTTTGCATAGACCGCTTCTCTCATATATAAATATTACAAGATGTTGGCTGTTTTTCTTTTCATACAATTGTTGATAGTGAATATCATTCTTGGATAAATTTTAGTGTACCTATTTATCAAATTCTTAGAGCTCCTTACAGGGTGGCCGATAAGTATAGGACGTTTTGAAAGTGCTCCCATTTTTTCAATTTGAGGATTTTTCGAGAACAACCTTTATTAAACAACAAAAAATAAGCAGAAAATTTGATTTTACAAGAGAATTTCGAAGTTGGATCCACGAGCTTTGACACGGCTCTCAAACGTTTCTTCACCGAATTGACAGTGCGCCGCAGGTATCCGTCGTCGATCGAAGCCCATGCTACCTCGAGAGCGGCCTTCAAGTCATCGACAGTAGCAAAAACTTTTCCCGCGATCTTCCCTTCCAACATGCCCCAAACGCTGAAATCCATCGGATTGAGATCCGGGCTGAAGCAGGCCACAAGTTCTTGTCCAGGAATCCAGGGAAATGCGCCTCCAAGACGGCCAATGTCGATCTCGAGCCATGGGACGGTGCCCAGTCTTGTTGAAGGATAAATGGACCACCAGCAAAGTGCTGAGTGACCCAGGGTAACAAATTATCCATCAACACAATCTTTTGGTACACCTCCGAGTTGATTTTCACATTTCTTTCAATGAAAACCAACGGAGTTTTACCGGTTTCCGTGATACCGGCCCAAACAATGACACTTTTCGGGAAAAGGCGGTTATGGGCAAGACGACGTTTCGGAGACATGCTGTCATCTTTTGACAATAACTGTCTCTGGTTTTGACGGTTGGGAAGAGGTTCAATAGTGAAGATCTTCTCGTCTGTCCAGATAACGTCAGAGACGCGGCGCACTTGAAAGTGCTGGAGTAATTTTCGGCATTTTTCGAGTCGCATCGCTTTCGATTTGTCCGAGAGGTACTGTCCACGACGTAGTTTGTAACTTTTGAGCTTCAAGTCGTTCTTGACAATCGATTGGACAGTGGATCGGGCAATTCCAAGCTGTGACGCCATCCTATTGAGACTCAATCCATCATTTCGAATGATCCGTTTCTTGATGATTGCACGAGTATTCCGGGTGTTGACAGAACGTGGACGTCCGCTTTTTTTTTACTTCAGAAGCATCTCCTGCTTTTTGATAGCAGCGACAACGTTTCGAACCGTCGAAGACGAAATTTGAAGGCGTCGAGCGATCTCAGCACTTCCAAGGCCTCTCTTGAACAAGAGTTCAATGGAAGGACGATGAGGAGAACTTTTCATAGCTCGGCGATATGGAGAAGTGAGAACAAATGACTGAGAAGCTTACTTATATAGTCTCTGGACTTTCGAAAAGTTTCGAAATTTTTCGAAAATATCCCTTGGCACCGTGCCAGGGAACGCTGAAAGCGAGCGTCCTATACTTATCGGCCACCCTGTATGATCGAGATCGTTCTAGCATTGACGTAAGTTCAATTTGTTTCAAGAGAAGAGAACTGCTCAGAATATTCTAGAAAATTGAGAAACGCGTACGATAGAAAGACCAGAATGATTATAGCAGCGTTTGTAAGTCCACAAGTGGTTAGTTCATCTTGATTTTAATTTTAGAACGAAACCTGCCCTGCGTGTATTGCCAAGTGCGATCATCCGGTGGTTATTGTTGGCTGCCGACATCAGTTTTGTCGTGGGTCAACCAAATTTTTCTAATTTCAGGAAGTTCAAAGCCTAAATGAAGTTTTGAAAAGTAGAAGCTAATTAGCAATTTAAAGAACTCTAATAGTAATGTCGCACTAACTTTGAAATTCTGAACGACGTTAATAAAAGAAATAAGAAGATAAAAATGCAGAACAAGTATTCGATGTTTATGGTATTCATGGATGTTTATGGTATTCTGGTAGATTATTAATAGCAGAAAGATAATTATGGGTGAAATAACAGCATATGTTGAATTTGGATACATGGGTAACCTGATTTTCAGATGAGTAACTTAAGGAAATAATCTTTCAGAAGATTGTTTTGTGAACTTGTGGGAAACCGCATTCAAACGTAACCCGAAAGAACTGCTCACTTGTTGCTTTTGCAGAAATCCGGTTGGTTACAAAACTAGTTACTCATCTGAAAATCAGGTTACCCATGTATCCAAATTCAACATATGCTGTTATTTCACCCATAATTATCTTTCTGCTATTAATAATCTACCAGAATACCATAAACATCCATGAATACCATAAACATCGAATAATTGTTCTGCATTTTTATCTTCTTATTTCTTTTATTAACGTCGTTCAGAATTTCAAAGTTAGTGCGACATTACTATTAGAGTTCTTTAAATTGCTAATTAGCTTCTACTTTTCAAAACTTCATTTAGGCTTTGAACTTCCTGAAATTAGAAAAATTTGGTTGACCCACGACAAAACTGATGTCGGCAGCCAACAATAACCACCGGATGATCGCACTTGGCAATACACGCAGGGCAGGTTTCGTTCTAAAATTAAAATCAAGATGAACTAACCACTTGTGGACTTACAAACGCTGCTATAATCATTCTGGTCTTTCTATCGTACGCGTTTCTCAATTTTCTAGAATATTCTGAGCAGTTCTCTTCTCTTGAAACAAATTGAACTTACGTCAATGCTAGAACGATCTCGATCATAAGGAGCTCTAAGAATTTGATAAATAGGTACACTAAAATTTATCCAAGAATGATATTCACTATCAACAATTGTATGAAAAGAAAAACAGCCAACATCTTGTAATATTTATATATGAGAGAAGCGGTCTATGCAAAATGGATAATAAAGTAGCACCGTACTCTCGAAGAAGTTGAATTAGAATAGAATTCGATGAATAGAGCCGAGCACTTAGCACAAATCCAGGCGAAGTGAGTATGTTTAGGATGAAAGGAATGGGAAGGGGCCTTTCGAGTGTAATGACAGCAATTTGGAGTCGTTTACATAATCGTTTTTCTGCCTACAATATCCAAAATCTGAAACGAGAGGAAAGAGAAGAAAATGGACATTTTTTCGTATTATATTGGTTTCCTATCTTTTCGAAAAAAGACTCAATAACCAATTAGACCCTCTCATTACAAAAATGGTGGTGAAAAGGAGTCGTTGAATGATTCTCTGATTTCCAAACTCGTTGAAATGGATTCAGATTGTTCCAGTGATATTGCTTTTTGATTTAGAAAACAAAACAGTTTTGATACAAAAAATTTATTGAATATGCGTTTTCAGAGAAAAGGAAAGACAGTCAGATTTTACTGAGATATAGAAGGGTTAAGATCAAAAGGGGAGAGGTGGGTGTTGGGATATGAATTTGTGATCTAAAATGGAGAAGATTAGAAGAGAATGGTTAATATGAAAAAAAGTGAGAATCAGAAACTTATTAAATCGCAAAGCCCATACGAATTTTTATTACTCCTTTTCTCCGTGTTTTGCTCCGTTCTTCTTGCTACACATTAGTTTTGCCAAACGGTTCGCTTCTTCTTGTTTCGCTCTTGTTGCAGCCTCCCGGAACGGCTGAAACAAAATTCATGACTCGAAAAAATTACTATGCAATATACCTTATAATTATCCACTGTAGTCAAATAGTAAGGCACTATGTTGTTGGTCCAGGATACATTGCCTTTTTCTGAGCCATCAGTTTCGAACAACAAAATTGTATCGGCAGATGCGGTGAAAAAACCTAAACAAATATTATACATTTTTATACATAGTTTTTCATATTGACTTACAGTCGCGGGGTGTCCTTCCCTTTTTGGTCGTTTCCAATTTCTGAGTCACCACAATTTTTGTTCCGTTGTTACAGAATTGCAAAATCGCTCTCAATTTAATCATAAGATCTGGATCAAAAGCTAAATTGTTGCAGAAAATAATGGTCGCTTTCTCTTTCAAAAAAGTCTCAATTTCTTCGGTATTGAAATCTCCGAGTTTCAGCTCAAATGGCCGTGGCTTTTCCCCAAAATGCCGCATCAGCTTCTTGAACTGACGAACGTTTTCGTCCGCAAAACCAGCTGGGACCTGTTGAAGTTCAATGCCTCGCACGTGTGCTATGTTGGTATACGCAGCAGCAAACGTTACCAGCTGCCCGATTCCAGATCCCAAATCCATGAAGACGTCGTCTTCTTTGACACCAAGCAGGTCCAGGATTTTTTGTAACGTCTCGATATTCGTTTCACCGTAAGTCTGGAAAAATTATTAACATTACGAAGTGTCTCTAAATATTTGTGAGCGAAAAAACAGAGACGGACTCCTATACACAGTAACAGTCTATAAAATTTTTAAAAAAAGATTTTTCAGTTGATTTGTGGTCTATTCAAAATGCTATGAAACAAAAGACATTTTCAAAAAGTTTTGTGAATAAAAAATTTTCAATCTAGGTATTTTATACAAAAAAAAAGAAAATGGCCAAATGTTTGAAAATCAACTGAAAAAAATGCGTTTTGTCTATCTTATTTACTGTATGTACGTTTAGTGAACTAACCCCGCTGCTGAATCCTGCATAATGCGTGTTTAGCACTCGTGGATTTGGAATGGCGAGTTGACATGCTAAGTCACAGATTACACGGAACTCGGAAGCTTCCTTTTGGCGCCAATTTTCTTTTGAAAGTAGAACATCACGCGGATTCTGAAATTAAGAAATTAAAACAAAAGTCTGGCGAAAATATAATCAAAACTATTTACTTTTTTACGAAATGCTTTGACACTGTTGTTGAACGTTTTCAAAAAGGGTCCTAGTTCACTGTCGGCGCATTCGTCCCAATGGAGTGGATGGATATTCAGCTTTGAGAGGACAGATCCATGTATCCTGAAATAATAACGATTTCTGAAATATATTAAAAATTTTCACTCACTCTTTGAACAACGTTTTGATGACCGATGCAGCGTTCGGCTCATTTGAAGAGAGATCTAAACGGCGTCCGTTTTTGCAAACTGACTCGATTGTCCATTTCTCTACTTTAACGGCAATTTTCGGAGCCGGTCCAGCGACTTCGGATGAAGCATTTCTCTTGGTGGTGGATCTCAAACTTCTGACGGAAGCTGGTTGCAACGGACCTGGTTTGTCAGCATCATCGGAAACGACAGAGAAATTTTGTTGGACCTTAGACATTTCTGATTCTTCGGTATTTTCACAGCAAATTTCCAAAACGTTGACGATTTGGGTGGACTTCGAGAACAAATATAGAATGCAAGTGTTAATATGTAGATAGTTGGAATATGATTGGAAGATGGTATTGATGTAGATGATGAATGAATGATTGAATGAATGATTGAATGAATGGATGGATATGAAGAGATTGGTTTACAGAATTGGGAGGCGGAGTCAAAAAGCTGCAAATTTATGCTACTAAACTCCTCCCCCAAATTTATAATTGTCATCATTTCGTATCAGTATCCGATCAAGTATCCGAAGTTTATGAGGTCAACTGTATACTCCCAGTCATGAAGTCATAAAGAATTGCCCAGAATACCAATTCACTTCGAAAGTGTACAAAGATTACGATCCTGATTAGGATGGCAGTGTATACATTTCCTCCAGGAAATTAGAATGTGCTGAAAATGAAAAACGTTGAGGTTTTTTAAATATTTTGAAAAGTTTGAAACGGGAACAGGTTCAACAATTTTTGGAAAGTATTTGTTTTCAAAACGTTTATTAAGTTGGAAAGTTGTCAAAAAAGTTTGTTCCATTTTCGAATCTTGCTGGTAAACCACTAGTTATTATTTTCCGAATAAAAAAAACTAGTTTTCTGAAAATGTTTCAGTTTATGTTGTTTTTCAGATTTTCAAGAGCTGGAAGTAATTTTGACCTTGAATTCGACTTTTAAAAGGCTTTCTTTTGAATATCCCCCATTTCAAAGTGCTGAGCCTCTTATTTCAATTCTGATCATATTTTTTAAAGTCTGATTTGACTTCTGAAATTTTTTTTCAATCAAAAATCTATCGAAAAATCAACCAAACCAGAAAAAATCTCGAAGCGTTCATTGAAAGTTTAAATAGATTATCGAAAACTAGAAATGTTATGAAATCTCAAATTTTATTATGTCGAGTTTTTTTTGGATTTCATACATATCACATTTGACACAGTATCACGCAGATTCATCAATCTACATAGGAATTTCAGAAAACTGCTTAAAAAATTCTGAAATCTTCTCAAATTATTGGATTCATTTTTCTGAAACCATTAATTTCTCTATTTTTTCAATGTGCTTTTTTCAATCTTTCAACAGAGAATTTTTATTCAGAAGTTCACACCATTTCAAGAACAAATTTCAGATGGAAAAGGGACGGGAGAAAGGGCACGAACTAGAAGATGAAAATCGCAATAAAATCTAAAATCAAGAGATCTTGGGGACGGGTGCTAGAAAAAGAGTTGCGAGCCGAAATGAAAAAAAGAAAGTTAAGAAAGAAAGTATATGAGGATCAAGAAAATTGAGAAGTTGGATTGAATAGGGAGGCTGATACGGAGACGCATCAGACGAATTCCTTATATGGTGTTCCAGTATCTCCAGCCAAATCTTTGTCCCAGGTGATATAGGAGACACTGAAATATTTCAATTTTAGATGTGCTATTTTATTTAGAATGAGCTTACGCAGTATCCACACTTTCGAATGTGGTGTCACTTCTCACTTCACGAATCCCATAGCTCGTACAGTTGTGGCGCACGGAGAGAAAGACTTCGTAGAATTTCTGTAATACATTTTCTGTAATACATTAATCGTGATCCTGACTAAAATAAATAGGTGGTATTTTTTGTTATTCTGAAACTGAAACGTGATTCGATCAACTGTTGTGAACTCACATCTCCGAAAGGTCCATCCTCGTACTCATTTCCATCAAGCTTGTAGTCCCAGGAGTGCCGTCCGAATACGCATTTGGTTCCCATTCTGTCGATTACATCGTTCCAACTGAAAAATGGAAATGTGAAAGAGTTCGGACAGGACAAAATAAACTTACGATTCGGTGATGTCCTCTTCCCAGAGAGTGACAAAAAAGCACCATGCGTTGTAGTCACAGGTGAATGTACCGTTGGCCTTGAAATTGGTCTTCGCCGCAATTCCTCCGATCAAGAAGAGAATCGGGAGAAGAGAGACCAACTTCATTTTCACTGGAAAACGGACTGAACTGGCTGAGACCTATGCTTTTAAAAAACCCAAAATAGGCGTGGCTTGAGTCAGATACCGAGCTCCGTCACAAAAAAGAAGCTCCACCCCTAAAAAAAGAATCGAGAAGGTACGAAAAAAGAAATGCCGGGGTGTGATTGATGGAGAAAGCAAAAGGCGCACTCCGGAAATTGAGAAGAAGATAGGAGCTTTTAGATAAAGTAGAGTGGTGTGGTTACCTCATTTAAATAGAGATCTACTCCGAAAAAACGGGCAGCAGTGAGAAGCTTTGGTACGACTTTTGATTTATGAGATGGCTACGCGAACACATTGGATTCAAATGAAGTGGGAAGAAAAACTATACTATTTTTAGAACACGCAAAAAAACCAGAAGGAGGAGAACTTGAATCTCTGACATCACGGATGTTATGCTCTGATAATGGTATCAATTCGATGAGGGTCTTTTCAGACACTTGGAAATTGGGAAAACGATAAGCGCTCTTAGCCAAATCTCAAATTTTAAACACTTCGTTTTACAATCAAAAGTTTCACAATCAAAAAAAATCAAAATGTAGCACTTTCCCTGTTACCTCATTCAAATAGAGATCTACCCCAAACAAACGGACCGCAGTAAGAAGCTTTGGTACGACTTTTGATTTAGGAAGTGGCTACGCGAAAACCTCTTTGGATGCAAATGAAGTGGGAAGGAAAACTATACTATTTTTAGAAAACACAAAAAACTAGAACGAGGAGAACGTGGACCTCTGTCATCACGGATTTCATGCTTTGATCTTTCAGGAAAAATGTTCGATTAATCGGGAATTGGGAAAAATTGTGATGTTCTTCGAGGAACAGACGTTAAAGTTGGAATTGGAACTTCTTAATTCTTTCCGTTTTCGGGTTCCGGGTTTTTCGAAACTCGAAGACTTTTGGCTGTTTTAACAGTTGAAACTCTGTAGAATTGATTTCAGAGCACGATGAATAAAAATCGACAAATTTACCGGAAAATTATCAACAAACTTGTCGGAAAGGTGCATTTGTTCAAAACTCATTGCCCGATAAGGCAGACTGATTGAAATTCGCTGAAAATGATCAAAAGCGAAAGCAATGTGTCGGCAAATTGTGTCTTCGCATGCTTGCAAAAACCATTGAAGCCCGGGGAGGCCCGGAAGGCCCGGATAGGAAATTTTTTGTTCGAAATTTATCAAAAACATTTTTTTGATTAAAAAAAATTAGTTTTTGAGAAAAAAAAATGTTATTTTGCTTCAAAAATGTAATTTTCCGTGCGATCATACCTCCAGAAAAGTCATAAAAATATTTTTCAAACTTTTGCTTAACCATTTACAGATTCAATATTTACAATTTACTCCGCACCTTCCAGACATTCCGGGCCAGACCGGGCCGGGCCGGGCCTTGACAAACTTTTTGAAGGCCCGACTTGGCCCGTCGCAGGTATGGATTTCCCTCTCATTCTCTATATTTTACCAATTTTCAATTTTTTTCTATTGGCTGAAATCCAATTTTCTGCACTTTCTGAACGGGATAGCCGCAAAGAAAATGTTCAAAAGGAATATCGTTGTGTCCACAGTGAGAACCCAATTTTTTACAGAAAAATTTATTGAACTTGCGTTTTCAGGGTGAAAGATCATTTAGATAAATTGAAAGACAAATAGGTTTACAAGTATAGGAAAAATGTAGATCCTAAAAAATGTTACATGAAACAAAATTGGGAAAAAATCTAAAAATGGTGAATAAAAAAAGAGTTAGAGGTTTTAGAAAAAGCAAAGTTGAAACTGGAAAAAAGTGCGAAAAGTGGAGTTGAGTTATAGGAAGTCATGTTAATAATACATGAGGATAACAACGCTCTAATTGAATATGACTAAAAACTTTGATAACAAATTCTATAAACTGAATGAAACCCATGGCAATTTTTTTAATTTACTAATTTTCTGAGGAATGTCGAGAAATCGAATAACTGAGGAATGAAAATGAAGAGACTTTAATGAAAATTAGAAAGCTTGAGATCAACGAACAGAGAAAGGGATTTGGGATTTGGAACTCTAAGAAAGTGGTAAAAATAGCGAAGATTAAAGAAAAAAAGGGTAAAATCAGGAAATTCTCAAAACAACTTGACAAAATACATCAACTTTTCGTGTTTTGCATTTTTTAATTTTTTGCTGCTCTGTCCCTTTTTGTTCGAGTTTGTCTTGCCAATCGAGTCTCTTTCTCTCTTTGTGCTCTTTGTGCGGCATCGCGGAAGTGCTGAAAATTATTAATTAATCGAGAAAATTAGAACGCAACAAACTTTTTCAAGATCCATGACCGTCAAAAAATAGTCGATTGTTTTGATCGTCCAAGAAACGTCCGGCTTCGTTTTGGTACCAGTTGACTGCAGCAGACTTGTATTTGCCATCTGCGTACCACTTCGTTTGCATCCAAAGAGGTAACCGCGTACCCACCTCATAAATCAAGAGTCGTACTAAAGCTTCTCACTGCGGCCCGTTTCTTCGGGGAATTTCTATTTAGATGAGGTAACTGCACCATTCTGCTTTAACGAAGAGCTTCTATCTTTTTCCCATTTTCCGTAGAACGCCTTTTGGTTTCTCCATCAATCACTCCTCGGCTTTTCTATTTTCGAACCTTCTCGATTCTTTTTTTCGGAGGTGGAGCATTATTTTGGCATTTTTCTAAAACTGCTAAATCTGAAAATAATCGGTGTCAACTGCTGTAAACTCACGTCGAAAGGTCCATCCTCATATTCAGTTCCATCGAGCTCGTAGAAATAACTGTGCCGTCCAAACACACACTTTGTTCCCATTGTATCAATTACATCGTTCCAACTGAAAGTTGTAGATATAAGAGAGCTCAGAAAAGACAAGACAAACTTACTATTCGCTAGTGTCCTCCTCCCATAGAGTGACGAAGAAGCACCACGCATTGTAGTCACAGTAGAACGTCCCATTTACCTTAAAATTGGTCTTCGCCGCAATTCCTCCAATCAGAAGAAGAACTGGGAGGAGAGAGACCAACTTCATTTACAGGGAAAAACAGACTGAATTGGCTAAGACGTGGTCTTTTAACGGATCAAAAATGGGCGTGGCTTGAGTCAGATTTTGAGCTCCACCACAAAATAATGCTCCACCTCCGAAAAAAAGAATCGAGAAGGTTCGAAAATAGAAAAGCCGAGGAGTGATTGATGGAGAAACCAAAAGGCGTTCTACGGAAAATGGGAAAAAGATAGAAGCTCTTCGTTAAAGCAGAATGGTGCAGTTACCTCATCTAAATAGAAATTCCCCGAAGAAACGGGCCGCAGTGAGAAGCTTTAGTACGACTCTTGATTTATGAGGCGGGTACGCGGTTACCTCTTTGGATGCAAACGAAGTGGGAAGGATAACTATACTATTTTTGGAAAACACAAAAAAACTAGAGCGAGGAGAACGTGGGGACCTCTGTCATCACGGATTTCATGCTTTTATAATGATTTCAATTCCATTTGGATTTTTTCAGGAAAAATGTTCGATTAATAGGAAATTGGAAAAAATTGCGATGTTCTTTGACGAACAGACGTTAAAGTTGAAATTGGAACTTCTTAATTCTTTCCGTTTTCAGGTCCCGGGTTTTTCGGAACTCGAAGACTTTTGGCTGTTAACTCTGTAGAATTGATTTCAGAGCACGATGAATGTAAATCGACAAATTTACCGGAAAATTATCAACAAACTTGTCGGAAATGTGCATTTGTTCAAAACTTATTGCCCGATAAGGCAGACTGATTGAAATTCGCTGAAAATGATCAAAGGCGAAAGCAATGTGTCGGCAAATTGGGTTTCGCATGCTTGCGAAAATCGTTGAAGCCATAAGTAATCTTTAGGTAATCATAGGTAATCTTTTGGTCGAAATTTATCAAAAAAATTAGTTTTCGAGAAAAAAAACTGTTATTTTGCTTCAGAAATGCAATTTTCAGCCCGATCCCACCTCCAGAAAAAAGTCAGAAAAATAATATTTTTCAAACTTTTGTTAAATATTTACAAATTCAGTATTTACAATTTAGCTTGAAAAAAGCTGGCGCCAACTGTCCGGGCCTTCAGGGCCTCCCTAGCCGGACCTTCCGGACATTCCGGGCCAGACCGGGCCGGGCCGGGCCTTGACAAACTTTTTGAAATCCCGACCCGGCCCGTCGCAAGTATGGATTTCCCTCTCATTCTCAATATTTTCCCAGTTTTCGATTATTTTCTATTGGCTGAAATCCCATTTTCTGCATTTCCTGAACGTGATAGCCGCAAAAAAATGTTCAAAAGGAATAGCGTTGTGTCCACTGTGCGAACCCAATTTTTATCCAAAGAATTTCATTGAACTTGCGTTTTCAGGGTGAAAGATCGTTCAGAAAAATTGAAAGACAAGCATGTTTACAAGTATAGGAAAAATAAGGATCCTAGAAAAATGATACAACAATAAGAATTGGAAAAAAATCTTAAAATGGTGAATAAAAAAAGAGTTAGAGGTTTTAGAAAAAGCGATGTTGAAACTGGAAAAAAGTGCAAAAAGTAGAGTTGAGTTGTAAGAAGTCATGTTAATAATACATGAGGATAACAAAGCTCATAAAACACATGGCAATTTTTTTAACTGACTAATTTTCTGAGGAATGTTGAGAGATTGAATAACTGAGAAGTGGAAGTGAAGAGAGGGTAAAATCAGGAAATTCCCAAAGCAACTTGACAAAGTACATCAACTTTTCTAATTTTTCATTTTTCAATTTTTTGCTGCTCTGCTCCTCTTCGATCGAGTTTGTCTTGCCCAACGATGCTCTTTTTGTTCTTTTGCTCTCATTTCGGCTTCTCGTATTGGCTGAAACATATTTTGTCAATCGAGATAATTAGTACAAAACAAACTTTTTCAAGATCCATAATCGTCAAAAAATAGTCGATTGTCTTGATGGTCCAAGAAACATTGGGTTTTTTCTCGGTACCAGTTGACTGCAAAGCAGTCGTTTCTGCCATTTGAGTAAAAAAGCCTGAAAATACAAATTTAAATTTTTTCATATACCTATTTATATGTAGTATACTTACAATCATGAGCTAGGCCGTTTTCCGACCGTGTGGTCTCGAGTTTTTTGGTGACCACAATCTTAGTGCCAGACCCACAGGACTCCAAGATCTTTCTCAACTCCAGCATTAGGTCTGGATCGAAGGCAAAATTATTGCAAAAAATTACTTTTGCTTCGTTCTTCAGGAATTCTGCATGTTTATTCTCCTTGAAATCGCCTTTTTCCAATTTGAACGGCCTCGGCTGCTCACCGAAATGGTTCATCAGCCTGCAAAATAAACGTTAGTCAGTTTGATTTAAAAAAAACAAAGGGATAACATTTTGGAAACAGGTTTTTCTGATTCAGTATTTTATTTTTCACAAGATTCAATTGTGCAACTCAAAGCAATATTGATGAAAAATTGCTCATACCTCTCGAACTGAATGCCATTTTCGCTGGCAAAGTCAGCTGGAACTTGTTCGATTTCGATCCCGCTGACATTCGCACACTTTGAATATGCCGCAGCAAAAGTGACCAATTGTCCTATTCCCGAACCCACATCGATGAAAATATCGTCTTCTTTAATTTTGAGCTGATCAAGAATTGATTGGAATTGTTCATAATCTGTTTCTCCGTAGGTCTGAAAAATTATATGTAAATTTAAAAACAGTCTCTGAATTTTATTATTTCAAAAACAGAAACAGCCACCTAAAGTAGTGGTCAATAAGATACAGAATATCAAATTTTTCAGTTGATTTTACGTAATTTGATCATTTTCAGGAGTCTGGACTTCGGTTGCCAACTGTCGGATCACTGTGAAACCTTTGGAGGGTGTTAAACAGACCTAGATTGAAAATGTTGTATTCACAGAATTCTTAGAAAGTTCCTAGTTTTTCAGCAACTTGCCGATTTTTCAAGGACAACTATTTTTCACATTTTCAATACAAAAACAGTTTTAAAAAGGACTATTTTTCCGAAATTGGCAAATTGCTTAAGAACAAGAAATTTTCGACAATTCTACAAAAGCAAAGTTTTCAATGACAGCCGAGCTCTAGGCTTTTGAAAATGGTTAAAATCAACAACCAAAAAAAACTATTTTTGGTAAACTAACCCCATTACTGAAGCTTCCATAATGCTTGTTGAGCACTGTTTGGTCTGGAATGGCCAAGCGACACGCCAGCTCACAGATGATCCGAAATTGTGTCGCTTTTTCAACGCGCCAGTCTTCTTTTGAAAGGAGTGCCTTCTTTGGGTTCTGCAATTAATCCATTCAAAAAATGTGGAGAAAAAATAATCAAAACTATTTACCCTTCTTCGGAAGAACTTTACTTTGTTGTTAAAAATTGTCAAGAATGGACCAATTTCATGTTCTCCGACGTTATCCCAATCGAGTTTTTTCATGCGGAGCGTCGCCAGCACCGGCTCATAAATCCTATAACAATCATGACTTTTTAGATTTATTCGAAATGCTCACTTACTTTTCAAACAATGTCCTGATAACCGATGCCGCATTCGGCTCACTCGCAAAAAAATCTAAGCGAATTCCGTTTTCGCAGACCGGCTCGATGGACCACAACGGAAAATCGTCAGTATCGTTAACATCAGCAAGGCAGCTTTTGGACGGTGCAGCGAGAGCTTCAATATTCTCCTCCTCATCGATAACGATATTGGTGATTTTTGCCAATTTTGCAGGTTTAATGTCTTTGGATGAAGCGTTTCGTTTTTTGGTTGATCTCGAACTTTTTCCTCCACTGATAAGTGCTGGTTGCGCTGGTTCAGGTTTTTCTGTTGGGTTTTGATCTTCATCCTTAACTGCGTCAAAATCGATTTGCGGCTTCATGGGCTTTTGTGGAAGCTCCTCATCCTCAGCAGAATTAAAATCAAATTGCGGCTCCATCGCTTTTGATTGGAGCTTTTCATCCTCAGCAGTTTCAGAAACAATTTGTGGTTTCACTTGAATCGGGGTATAGACGCTCGTCTCGGGATTGATATAGGAGTCCAAAGAATCCAATGGCTGAGCCGCATATACACCGGGTTGATAATAATCAACATTTTTCAAAAGGATCATCTTTTGGTGATCCTTAGGAAGAGGATCGTAGTTGTATTCCTTGAGTGGTTCTAAAGGCATGGGCAGTGTGGTGAATCCTTGGTGTTGGTCATTCGACATTTTTGGTTGGTTTGTGTTTTCACTGTAAACTTGTTGTCTTAAAATCAACGAGTTTACAAGACAAAGGAACAACAAAAAAGAAAAAAGAAGAGTAAGAGATGATGTTGCTGAATGAACGAAAAAATGAATGGATTTATATCAGGAGTTTTTTTTGAAAATGGGAGGCGTATTCGTAGTGCTCTCTGAGCATCGATTTTTATCAAAAATATCAAAAAGGTCATTTTTAAAAAATTTTTACGAAAAATTACTAACATGTACGTTTCCTCAAATTTTCTCAAAAGAGTTTCTCGGAACTTATCACAAAACAAATTTCTCAAATTCCCCACATTTTCTCTAAAACATGAACTCCAATTGGCGTTAGTGACAAAGAGAGCGTAAACGCAGAAGAAAAAATAAACGACAAAAAATCTAGAAATTAAAGAGTTGGCATTTAGTATGTTCAGAAATTTGAATAATTGAGCAAAACGTGAATTATAAAAAAACATAGAATTGGTTGTATGGAGATGGAAAAAGTTTGAAATGGACCCCATTAAAATTTTTTTATGAAATCGGGAAAATAAAATGGAGTCATAGTAGAATACAAATCTCTATATACTTTGAAAATGAGGGAATGATAATTTAAATTAGAAAAAAAAAGAGATTTTTCAGAAATTCAACTTTTTGGGGTTCAGTTCATATAACTTCCCGTCTCCGCAATTGGCCAAACCTTCTATTTTCAAACGCTCAAAATCATTAGAACCGTTTCTATGATAAGCGAGGTGGGCATTGTTTCATTAGAAATCGCATCTGAACAAATACAAAGTATGTGTCATCGAACTGATAAGGGAAAGAGACATAGAAAAGTTGGGGGAGTTGATTTAGGTCGTCATTTTCTATATTTTGTTTTGAAAAAATCTCTTTAAAAAATTGAAGTCCTACCAGCTGTTACGGAGAAGGCCATGAGCGGTAAACTAACTTTTAGAAATGCAGAATAAACAGAGCAAAATATTTTAGAATATTTCTCAAAAAGAAGAAACTCGAAATGCTCACTTTTCAAAATCAAAAATTGAGGAAAAAGTGGAAAAAAAGAAAAAAGAAAGGAGGAGCAGAACACATCAAATTTGATACTACTATCTAAGACCGTCTTCTGGTCTCTCTTGTGTATAGTGGATGTCTCTTTTTCTTCTCTTCATTATCTCCAGGCAAGAGAGTTAGACAGAGAAAGGAAAACTGTTCGACAGGGGGGGGGGGGGCGGTAAAAAAGCTGCGACGAGGAAAGGTCAACCCAACATATCGGAAGGGTAGGTAAGATAAGAGCCGCCGAAGCCACCACAAAGTGGGTAACACGGAAACGAATGTCTTTTTGTTTTAGGTGGACGTTTCATTCAGTGATTAAAAATCTTTTTTTTGCAAAGATCTTTCTAAATGACCAAAGACAATGACCACCAACTACCTACCGAGAAGGAAATCGGGAAGAATAATTTCAAAGTGGTTCAAACTGAAAAATGGGCCACCCTATTTGCCGCCTTGAACCAAGATAAATTTGGTATTCTTGTCCGGTGGCGATGAACCGTGTGGTCGAATAATCATTTAAAGGCGCAGCATCGTCGGTCCAAATACAAAATCAGCTACGTTTTTTAAATAAATGCGTCTTCGGTACAGTACTCCGGAATCATTTTCCTTTTGCCTATTTCTTGCATATTTCTGTTTATTTTCGTTAATTTCTTCCGAATCTCATGGATGATCAGCTGAAAATCCATATAAAGAAAAGATCAACTAAAATGGATCAAAGTTATCAACTTCTGAAGTACTGTATAAAAGACGCATGAGTTTATTTGAAAAAAACTGTAGTAGTTTTTGCTTCCGGATAAATCAGGACCGACCGTGAGCCTTCAGATAAAATTTGGGGCACAAGATTTATCGCCATCGGACAAGAACAATGATAATACGAATTTTTGGAAGGTTTGCCTTCAAAAAATATTGCAACGCGCGTGCTAGCCGTCGCTTACCGCACACACACACACACGCCTTCCGTCGTTCGCTGCCCTCCTCGCATCTCATTCCTCTTTTTACGCGATTACTGAGGGCACATTGTGTACGTAAGATGCCCTAGAGGCACCTGTTGCCTGTTTCTACGCGTTCGCATTTAGCTTTTCTGACGAATCACGAAACTAACATCAGAATTGGAAGCCCTGGTGTTAAGTGAAACAATGGATGATGGAAGAAGAAGCAAAAAGTGGAAGGAAATTGAGAAATCATAGGAAGGAAAAGAATAATCAAGAAAACGGGAATACAGATTTGAGAATGATGGATGATTGCGACATAAATCAGGTTTCCAGATTGGAAAACAGCACAGTGTGTCTAGGGGTTAGGTAAATATATTTTAGCACAATTCTAGGTAGCTGGAACAGTGACATTTTTTTTCAAAATCTTAGAATATGTGGACTGAAACAAAGTTTGAAGCAGTCCATTTATTTAAAATAATCGGAAAACAAAATACAATTTTTTCAGTTTGAAGTTTGGAAAATTCAGATAATTTATAGTTTTTTTTTGGAAAAAAAAACTCTGACCGGAATACTGACATATTTTTCAAAAATTCCAATTTTTGAAATCTCAGAACCCTTCGAAATTTCAATACTTTAAATCCGAACGTTAGGATTCTAAATATACAGAAATTCCAAAAATTTAAACTTTCCTATTTTCAATTTTTTCATTTTTTATATATTTGGAATATTTCAGAATTATAAAATTGTTACTGAAATTTGATCTTTCGGTTTTTGAAATACAATTTTAAGCAAAAAAGACGGAAAACAGTCGTAGTAAAGGTAAATACTGAGATGGTCGAATAGGTTGGAGAAAAAAACCCCCACAAGCGTTTGCTACGTTTTATTACAAAAATTGTTAGAAGCTCGTGGTCTTAGAACGGAAATGATAAAAATGAATTAAGCCTGCTTCAGAACTCCAAAAATATGTATTCTAGTATAGTAGTGTTAATCAAAAACTCGAGCCAAATCCGGAAAGCAAAAGCTCAGAAGCACTTAATCTTGTCTCGGAAGTAAAACTGATTGAAATTAGCAAAAAGTCTTTCTTTCGTTGCAAAATTTGATACACGACAAAAAAGGAATGAAAAAGAGAGAATATGAAACACTTTATATATCAATGCGTACTTACGCATATATTTTAGTGCTAGTATCAATGTTTGTGTATGGAGGGTGTTGTGTCATCAAAAGTGTTCAAAGTTGTTTTTTTTTCGGCAAATCTTTTGAACATCAAGAGCGGCGATTTTTTCGAAACAAGCAGAAATATTAGTGAGAAATAAGAGGAAAAAAAGCCCCATTTATTTATTATTCCCAACTTTCAGGTCAGAATGATCTTGAACAATTTTGAAAATAGCTCTGAAATGAAATAAAAACGGAAAAAAAGATATTTGGTTAGTAACTTGCAAAACGTGGTTTTTAGAAACTTTAGCGCTCTTTAACCATGGACGCATTTTGAGAAGTTGGTAAAAACGTTCATGGCCACACGGTATTTATAGGACCTGCTCGCCCCGCGTCCCACGTTTCTGCTCGCCCCGCCTTCCAAGGTCGGTGAGCGGCATCCAAAACGGGGGTTTTTCTGAAAGGTGGTAGAAAGGCGGTAGACGGGTTTTTTGCGTTTGGATAAGGGGGTTGATAGAAACATTATTGCGGTGAATGCAATACTTAACACTAGTTGGACCATAATGATATTTGAAAATTTATAAAATACCAGCCAGTTTGCCGCGCCTCTGGCGCTCCAAATGGCTGACTGGAGGGCCTACGGCGCGTGTTCGTCGTTTCGCTCTCCCTTTTTGAAAAATAATTGAAATATCTCTTTTTTCTTTTGTGACACGTTCTCTGTAAAACTGATCGAATCGTATGTTAATAGTTAAAAAAAAAAAACTACAACAATTGCTGAAAAATAAATAAAAGGTCCGACAAAAATTTTTTGAAAAAAATAATGTTCAGAGTTGTTTTCGGATGAAATCCCTTTTCTCTGTCTTCCAATTTTTATGACGTTTCACAACTTCTTTTCCAGAACGTCTCGTTAAAACTCTTGATTTCCCCTAACAATATCATTGAGGTAACACTCAAAAACAACGTCTTTTTTGTTCGTATCCCACACATTTTAGGCACACTGCTCTATCGATCGGAATATGTATAACCGTTCTGCAACAAATACATCAAAAGTGCCGATTCTACTATCTCTGTTCAGGCACCCAGTACGAGCCAATTGGCCCATATAGTTTTTGATCAAAAGCCCCGCTGATTCCTTATTGCACCACATTGACCCATCACCCCTATAAACGCCAACTGCTACTTGTACCTTTAATGTTTGTTTACATACGGCATGCAGAGTCGACTTTTTTGGCGCATTGTTCTTCTCAGATCCACCACCTTTCCTATCCACCACGTTTTGGCTCTACTAGTCTTATTTTCATATCTGATTTGAAAAAATAGAATATCGCTTTTACCAGAGTCGGGACCTCTCCACTAAAATCCTGAAAATCCTGAAAAGTTTGACAAAATTAAAACATTATCATATTTACATATAAAAATTTATTTGGTCTTCAAAAAATTAATAGGAACGAACTTTGATGATTAGAAAAAATAGGAAAATTAAGAAAAAAAATTTAAAAAATGATAAAAAGGATAAGAAAGGGGCAAGTCTATAAGAATATACACTGAAAACAGTAGATCTCAGAAAAAGAACAATTAAACACCTAAAACCTCGAATCATAACAGTCTATGGGGTTTGAGATAGAGAGATCTTCTTATTTAAAAAAAATGAGGAAAAATCCGATCGATTCAGTGATTCAAAACAGAAAGGATGAGCGATCAGAAAAAATTGACAAAGAAAGGCCAATTAGGATAACGAGATTTTGTGATGCAACATAATTCTTAGATTTGAAAAAAAAGTGAAAAATATAAAATCGAAAAATGGTATCTAAGAAAACTTATGGGAGTTCAGCTCGGCCTTCTGTGCTTTCGCCAATCTTTTTGTCTCTCTCTTCGCTTCCTGTTCCTCCTCCTCTGCTCTAAAATGTTCAGCTAGATTGTAGACCTGAAACAATAGATTTAAGTTTTTGATAAATTTTTTCAGATAAACAAACCTTCTCGTTATCCATCCTCGATACCCAGAAGTCAAACTTCTTATCTGTCCATTCCACGGGACAGTCAATGCTGTCCAGCGGAGCTGTGTGGGAGAAGCTGTTGAAATCTGAAAAAGCACATTTTAACTATTAGCATTCAGTCTTGTCAACTAACGTCCAACATAAGTTTTCTTGTTGAATCTGGTTTGATCGATAAGCTTTGTGACCACGACGCGAGTTCCGGGGGCACAGAGGTGGAGGATTTCTCGCAGGTCTCGCATTAATTCATTACCGAAAAGCCAATTATTCACGAAAATAATTGTGGCCTTCTTTACGATCGATTCTTTGTTGGCCGGTTTGGTGAAGTCCCCTTTGATCAACTCAAAGGGGCTCGGAATCTTTCCAAAGAATTTCATTAGCCTGTAAACTCAAATTCAGAAACAAAATAGATTGCAATTTTGATTTGGCGCTATTCATTACGAAAAATCAAAGAAATTGGAGTTCGAAAATTTAGCATAATGGAGAACATTTTTAAAAACGCACCTCTTGAAATTCTCCGAAATCCGAGCGGCGATGTCGGCAGGGGCATCGCACTTCTCGATTCCGTACACCATGGCAACATTGGCGTAGCTCGCGGTAAACGTCACGAGTTGGCCAATGCCAGAGCCAAGGTCAAAAATGACATCGTCATTTTTGACCTTCAATTGATCCAACATATGCTTCATTTGCTCTGTCTTCGTTGCTCCATAAGTCTGAAAACACCAATTTTTTTTATTTTCATTTTTCCTAAATTTTTCATTTAAAATTTTGATGAATTCCGGGGATGTTTGAAATGACCTTTTCGGAAATTTTCAGAATGTCAAAACTCCCGGTTTTGAAAGTTTTGGATTTTCGGTATATTTGGAATTTTGAAGTAGAAATTCCCATTCCCCGTCACGAAAACGCCGAAAATAGGTGAAAAATTGACAAAAGCTTTCGTAAAAAAGACTTTCAATCCTAACTTGGCCGGAATGTTTTGAATTTTCGGAATCCCAAATTCCGTTCCGAACTTCCCTGGGTGAATTCTCGTTTGAATTTTATGAAAGTTTAAGGGCTTATACTAACTTCTTCCGAGAAGCTTTTATAGTGTCTCTTCAGCACTCTTTCATCAACAACAGATAACTTCCTTGCCAATTCAGTGATGAGATGGCCTTCTTTGAACGAATCACTTTGAAGATGGACTTTCCTCCATCTTGCGGCAGTTAAGAGAGAACGTGGTTTCTGAAACGGTGAGGTTTTGATGATGATCACAAAAAACGAATTTCATTTTGGCGCTGTGGGAGTTGAGAGGTGCCCCAAATTTTTTTCTATTTTTTAAAAACTCCCATAGCCTCTTAAAGGAGGCGAGACAGCAACAATTTTAGGGGACAGTTATAAGGACGAAATCGCGCCGCGCTTATGTAGACCATCGGCCGGCAGGCGCCTTCGCGCCTTCGTAGCTCAGCCGGTAGCGGTGCTCTAACCCTGAGCTGCTTGTCATGAGTTCAACTCCTTATGGGGTTCTCTAGACAAAATATCAGGAAAACTTTATTTTAATGTCTGGCCTCCTTCAATTTTGAGCATAAAACTTTTCACTCGCCTCTTTTTTGAACTTCTCTGCCGCGAAATTGAAGCTTTCTAAAAATTCCATCAAGTCAGTTGTGTCCATAGCTTTCCAATCGGGTTGCTGGAGGGGAAGGCGTGGAAGAACGTTCTTATAGAATCTGAAAGCTCTAAGAATTTTAAAAAATTTGAAAACTATCATACGTACTCTGTGAAAATTTTTTCGATAACTTCCATCACGTTCGGTTCGTCAGACCGAACGTGAAGATCCACGCCGTGTCGATAGAGACTCTGAACCTTGTAGAGAAAAACTCCGTCTGGAAGAGCTACTTGTCCAGGGACATCGGCTTGATCCTGCTCTTCTTGATCTTGCTCTTCTTGAAGTTGCTTTACTGGATTTTGCGCTTCCGGTTTATGTTCTTCTTGATCTTGTTCTTCTTCATATTTCTCCTCCGGTTGCCTTACAGGTTCTGCCTTCTTCGTCTTCTTGGAAGCAACTTCTTGCTGACCGGATTTTCTGGAGCGTTTCTGGACCTTCCTCGCAGTTTTTCTTCCATTTCTCTTTTGTTTCTGTCGCTGATTGCCGTGAGTTGGTACATCGAATTCTTCGAGGTCTTCGATGTCCAAGTTTTCGTCGACAAGATTCCAGGGAGTTTGAAAATCCATGTTCTCCTTGTATTTCGATCTCTTCTGTTCCAAATTCCACCGGTCGGTCTCTTTGTCAATCGTTCCTTCTCTTCTTGTTCACTTCAGTCGTTCTCTCGCAGATTGTCTATTGAATGTTGTAGTTCGTTGCTGAAAAACTGATTTTCTAATATTGCAGTTCCAAAAAGGATAAAGAAAAAGAAGAGAGTGGAATTTTCACAACTAGAAATAAGTATATTTTTGAAAAAAATACCTAAAAGAATTAGAGTAATGCCGAAAAATCAGTGTTCTCGTAGCGAGCCAGTCTGACAAGTTGGTATAAACATTCATGCCTGCTCGATATTTATAGGGCCTCCTCGCCCCGCCTCCCAGCTTTCTGTTTCTTTGAGCGGCCGGAGGGCGGCTTCCGAAAGGCATCCGTCGAGCAGACGGTTTTTTGGAGAAACCAACAGAAGGTTAATATAAACATATTTTTGCGGTTAAGAAAAGGTCAATATAAACATTTTTGCGGTAAATGCAACACTAGTTGGACCATAATTCAATCGGAAAATAATAATATATACCTATTTCCTCTAATAGAGGTCCATGGCCTTCTATTTTTCATCCTCCTTCTGGGTGGTGCACTAATCTTAGAAAAAACGATCAAATTAGAGGGGTTTCGGATTCTAACTGAACTGGAATAGTTATAAAATAACAAGGACTAACGGGAAATACCAGAAAAATAAACAAAAGGGAGTGTGCCTGCCCTAACCAAAAACCGTATACTTCTACCGTATCCTTCTTCTACGGTATATTCAAAAAGTGACAATGTGTGATGAAGGAAAGAAGAAGAAAAAATAGAAATTAACATGCAGATGGCTCCTATTACGCAACCCACACTCTCCTAATAGAGCAATTAAGGTTACGGGTCATGAATCGTAATGGTAAAAAATTTGAAAAAAACATACCATTGAATTATAAGTATGATTTATAAAAATCTGCTGAAATTTGTCTCAAATTTGTCCTATCCAAACATTTTTAATGAAGTCTGTGTTCACGAGGTGGTGAAAAATTAATAGGACTTTGTATTAGACAACAACAGAAAAAAGAAATACTATTTTTAAATTTCTGGCTATTTCAATGGTTATCAGGATAAGAATAGACAAGAAGCCCTCTGGATGAAGGTTGACAACTGCTAAATTATTAATAGTGCGACAGATGTACTACGAATATGGTAGAATTTGTAAGAATTCAGAGAATGTGGGAAAAATTGGGAAGAGAAGAAGAGAGAAAAGAGAAATAGACGACGAAATATGAAGAAAGGTTGTCAACAGTTGTCTGCTTCAGAATCGAGAGATACTAGAATAAGTTACTCAACAAATAAGTAATTCAGAGTAAAAAAAGAGAAGAAAATCCGAATGAAAAAAAGAAACGCAAAATTACGAGGACGGGAGAACAAAACTTTGCGATCCGTCAAATTCAAGCTCGCATATCTTATTTACCCCATGAACAATCAAAACGTGGTCAACTGACAAAATATTTATCATAATGGTGAACGTATTTTGTCAGTTAATAACCTTTTGATATCTTTGGCTGGAAATGTGATATATGAACTTATAATTGACAGTTTGGCACACTTGCAGAATCATTGAAAAAAGAATACTAAAGCAGACACCACCTTCAAAGACAGATGCACAAATTTGGCAGCACCTTCAAAAAGTTTCAGTACAAAATCATGAAACAAATCGAGGCTGAGAAAAAGGTAATGGAAAGCGGAGTATTTGAAATGTTGCATTCTCCATTGTTACAGAGAGTTCATTTCTATTCTGATAGCAAAGAGTGCAAAGAGTGCAAAAGACGACGCAACTGACAACTGATAAGCAGAAAAGATAAAAGTAGTGAAAAGAACGTGGAATCCTAATACTACTATCTGAGAATTTGGTGTGTATAGTGGCCGTTTTTTTCTATACATGTTCCCGTTTTTCTCGTTTGTTAGAAATTTAGACGTAGTAAGAAAGATTGTCTGGCAGTGAAAAGGGAGGAAGAAGAACCTATTGCCCTGAAAAGGGGGGAAAGCAAAATAAAGATAAGAATCGTTGAGACAGGTATGCATTATTGGAGAATTGCGGCCGTTTTTTTGTTATCGCGAAAAAAATTTTAAAGACCACTGGGAAGAAAAAGGAAAGGCTCAAAAATCATATTGCCAAATAAGAGTTGTACTTCAATGATTCAGAAAACTGACTATAAAATTGGAATAACGGTCTGTTCGAAAATCGCACATGAGGAAAAATAACACAGGGGAAACTAAGTAATACAAAAAATGAGTTACAAAATGAAATGCGGACTGGATAAAGCATGAAGGCCGTTTTTCAACACCTTATAGAGATTTTTTGGAGATTGCGAAGAACAGAAACAGATGCTTCATATTCAATTGATCCCTTGTGTAAAGGAAGAGTACATCAGCTGTTGCGCATTCATCTTATTCATCTGACGCTTTTGAGAAAACCAAAAAATGAAGATTTTCCGAAATTGAAGTTTAGCAATATCTAAGAGAGAACTTCAAAGATTTGTTAGTTCAAATGAGTTATGTCCTTAGGCTCCTAGCTATTGAGGAATCTATAAATAATTCGATTTTTCAAAAAATATGGACAAACTTAGTAAAACTTCATTTTTTCAATGTCTTTCATCCTGATTTATATGCTGCGTTCCAAAATTCGAGCAGAATTATTTATAAGCTAGTAATTTTTTGAAAGTTTGTTTCCAAGAATCACTAAAATTTTATTAGAATTCTTTCAACAAATCGGTTGTCCCTCCCATGGAGGTCCAACTGGTGTTTAGTATATCAATTACCGCTAATTGTTTATATAAACTCTCACACCCAAAAATCAAAGCACAGTCTGCTCAACAGATGCCTTCTGCGGGCCGCTCGCCGGCCGCTCAAAGGAACATAAAAGTGGGAAACGGCAGGAGGAGGCGGTATAGTATTGAATGATTACAAATGTTTATGCTAACTGGTGAGAATTATGTCTTTGTAACAAAGGTTTGCGAGCCGGCCTCCGCCGATAATTAACACCGCCCACAAGCAGAATGAGGAAAGAACAAACCTCTAAAAAAGTACATAATCGTATAAACCAAAAATCGCGGACCAGAAATCCAGAAAAAGTTCAATCTTGTAGCGGAAGCAAAGCTGATTAAAACCCGCCATAAATCTCCTTTGAGCAACTGAGAGAAACAGGAAAGTGGGGAGCAAAAACGAAATACATATGTCCATGTATGTATCAGTGTTTGCTTTTCTGGCAAGAGGGCTTGTGTAATCTAAATTACCAATTCGTTGAGAAATGAAATTAATTAGTGTTTTAATGTATTGAAAGTTCATCGAATTAGAGAAGCAGAGAAGATAAAAAATAAAGGCACATAAACTACAAAAAAATACAATGGATCATTTGATATTAAATTAGAAGAAAGAAAAAAGAAGATTAAAATATTTACTCATTAGAAGGCATATTAATTTGAAGAAGACACTGGAATAACAACAAAAAATACAACAAATCAGATTGATGACAATTTTGAAAATTCTTAAATTGAAGGATAAATTAAATTAGAACAGACGGGAAGCAAAACATGAAGACACATAATTCACAAAAAAGGGGAATCACATTGGTAATAAATATAAAACCGGAAAGAGAAGAGTGAAATTAAAAGATTTTATTGAAGACTTCCTTCAGAATAGGATTGAGCTCCTTAAATATCATATTCTGAAAAGCCACGTCAATGCAGACACGTGTCAGCCTTGGCACGGTCCCTTTGTAGAACCTGAAAATTCAGAAATTTTAATTTAACTGTTTTTTGAGAAAATTCAAAATAAAAAATCACTACAGAAAGGTCTTAAAACTTCAAAATACGAAAACTTACGCCTTTGGACCCTCGTTCTTGATTATCTGCTTGATGCAGTCCGTGGTGGAGCTGTAGACTGCCGCATTGGCTCCTTGGAGTCTCGTCTTGACCACATCCACTGGCGTGTTGGCGTAGACCGATGCAGCACCAGCAATAACTCCGAAAACACCAATAATCGGAGTAGGAATATCTTTGGATTCGTTTCCATTCGTGTAGAGGTTCTTGAGGGACTCCAAAACCGAGAAGCGTACCATTTGGTTGGATCCTTGTTTCATCACAGTGGCACTGACGCCTTTGTAGAGCCCGGAAATTCCTTGACTTCTCGCGATTGATGTTGCTGCATGGACGAAGTTGCGGTAGACTGGCTTTGCGAGTCTTCGGTCTTCCAAATATTTGACTTTGAGAGCCTCGATCGGGGTGACGGCAAAAATCGCTTCAGAGACTCCCGCGCCAAGTCCACAGAGAAGAGATTGGATGAAGGTTAATTTGTTGTTGTCTCCGGAAACCATGCCTTTCAATCCTTCAAACGTGCCAAATCTAAAAAAAAATTATTATTTTCTTCTGGTTGCATAAGCATACAATCTACAGTATGCCAAGATTAACATAACACATAATAGATCATCACTGTCCCATTAAAATCCCATCAATTCCCCAAATAATTTGAATTTTCCTCACCTGCATCCAGTCACTGGGAAGTTCCCAATCAACAAGATTGGCAATCCTGAGTACAGTCCGCGCACTCCTTTCTCTTTCAGCGTCTTGCGGATGACATCTACTGGACCATTGAACACCGGCTTTCCATCTTTGTTGAGGAGCTGGGAGAGCGTCTTCACTTGCTCCGTCGGATAAACGATCATCATGCTCATGCACCCAGTAATTCCTCCACGGAACACCGCTTCCAATGTTTTTTGGAAAACAGAGGGTTTTCTAGAAAATAAATAATTCGAAATTGGAATCTTTCAAAACTCTTACCTCAGATAAGATCCGGTGGACGAAGAAGGATCAGAAGATCCCGGCGGAGAAGACGAGATGGCGGCGGCATAGGAGTCAGTGGTCGAGGTGGAGGTGGTGGGGGAAGGGGCAAACGATTTTACCCACGACTGCAATGGGACCAGGAAACTCAATGTTGCCAGAAAAGTGGTGATGGCGGGGAGAGAACTGAAATTTCGTAATTGGCTTCAAATTATAGAATATTGATTCAACTTACGTCTTGGTGGTCGGAGGTGGGATGGTCGATGAGCTTGGAGAAGAGGTGGTGGCGGCCGTGGAACTTGAGATGGAGGACGAGACAAGAGATGGACGATTGCTGAAAAGTAACAGATTTGAGGACAATTACTCACTGTACGTTCAATTTTTCAAATCTGGAAAATATATGAAACCACAAATAAATCCGAAAAATCAACGTGAATATTGATAATAACAGCGTTTTATAAGTATTAAGAATTGCAGAGTTACAGTATTCTGCATATATTACATACGGGGAAACCTGTAATACAAGGGCCTCTTTACAGGGTGGGGAATAATTATAGCGCCCAAACTTTGCGCAAGCTCTAGCGCCAGCAACACGGTCTGATTTGAACACCCTAGTATTTTTTCACTTTATTTTTTTGTTTTAAACTATTTCTGAAAGTTCATGCAATTATTCCAACTTTGAAGGTAATGGTGACCGTTTTTCCATACCACACTCCTAGTATGCGCGCGAAAAAGGGGTGAGAACTTTGGAAATCGCTAAAAAACTTGATATCAGGAAATCAGTGGTCAATCAGAAATTCGTTCGGTTCAGAGAATTGGGAACTGTTAATAATATAAGAAAAAGCGGTCATCTGATGTTTGGAACGGCTCCTGGAGTCGTCAAAGCCGTGAGAGAGAAAATCAGTAGGAATCACGAAAGAATCATGAAAAAAATGACGTCGTAGTTTAGAATGCTCCGCAAATCAATGAGAAATATTTTCCAAAAACAGCTCCATATGATTCCATATCGAACCCAAAAAGGCACTTTCCTAACGGACCGTAACAAAGGGTTAAAACTGAAAAAATCCAAAAATCTCCTTCGAGGCACGCCCTTCGGCACGCATTTGAAGACCGTTTTTTACAGGGTTGCAATCTGACGGGCTGGCCGGCGGGCCGGCCCGAGGGAAAAAACCAGGGCCCGGCCGGCCGGCAATTAATTAATATTTGAAAAAAAAGAAAAAAATAGCCACGAAATTTCCACACTGGCTCGACCGATTCTCTCACTAATTGTAGTGATTTTTCTAGTTAATTTTATGTTACTTTTCTATCTTTTTTGTTGGATTGGTTGATATGAGCTTTAATTTTCTCCCCCGGTTTCCATTTCTTTGTTTCCCCTTGTTCATTTATACGGTTTTTACATTGTTATGCTACTTGTTAAGAAATAAATTCAAATAATTCTTCAATAATTTCTGTTTTTTCTTAAATTCGAACGGGCCGAACCTGTTTTACCTGTCGGTCTACCTTGTATTCCAACAGATATTGGACCGATCTCAGTACGACCTGCCCTTGATCTTTGTTTTCTGAGATTTTCTAGAGCTCGAAAATATCACAGCAAAGATTGAGCGCAGGTCCACTGGGACCCAACAATCCTACTGTAAAATGCTATTCTGCTAAATATTCCTATCATGAATGGTCAGGTTACCAGTCGACCTGTGCTGCCTCTTTCTTTCGTGATATTTTTCACAGCGTAAAAATATCACAAGAACAGATCCAGCACAGGTCGTTTACCTGACATTTATTCTGCTATTTGACACAAAAGGAATGATAACAAATATACCCGTGTTAGACTTTTCTTGTGATATTTCTCACTGAGCGAAATATCACAGAACAGTTCAAGCACGGGTATCACACAGGATCTTGCCTTTTTTATTCGAATTGAATACTGGTGAGTTGGAGTAATTATGATTTTCAGGAAGATAATAAAGCTAAAAACTATCATGTGACGGAAAGAAAATATGTTTTGAAATCTCAAATATGTTGAACCACTGACGAGTGAGCTTTGCAGTGTGTGCAGGCACTCCGTACTGATAGAATGGTCAATTTTCGTTCACAAGACGTGATTGGGACTGGGGCAGCACCTCCGACTTCAACATTCGTTCGATGTAGGATTTTTGTAAATCTTGGCTCTACAATCGACAAAATTTTACCATTTGAGCATATCTCACCAAATACATTCACCGTGACCGGGTGAGATGTCTTATTCTGGGTTTTTCATCTCCTACATGCATTATAATAATCGATAGCCCCGATTCAATTGTTCTGGTCAGTCTTGTTTGCCTGAACAGTGAACAACTTCATCTATAAAAAACCAGGGTTGCAA